TCAAATATTGAAATAGATAAATTGCCAAGATCTTACGATAATAGAAAATATTTGAAATTGTTATTATAAATATGTAAAAGATTTGATCTTGATAGAACAATTTTTTTAAAAAATAAAGTTATAAAAATGCTATTAAAAATCTTTACCCTTAAAAAATCAATAAAGAAAATTTTTAAAAAAATAATAAACGATAATTAGTTAAAGGATATGGTCAATATATTTGCATTTCCAGATAGTTCTATATTTTCGTACCTTGGTATATTTAAAGAAGAATATTATCAAGATATAGCAGAAGTTTTGGGTGAATCTCCTACAGTTAGGGAGGTTGTATCAATTGCTGTCCAGAATCGTGAGACAGTAAATAGAAGTGAAAGAATAAAATATTCTCGTTTTGATAATATGAGAACTGTACTTATCGAACTCGAACCAGTGCCACCTAAACCAGAACGATATTATGCAGGGAATTGGGATAATCAGAATAAAGATGAACCAAATGAAGATCATAAAAAACGAGTTTGAAGATGGGAAATTGAATGTCAACGATAGTTTAGATATGGTGATTTTTTAATTGCTATTACAAAAGATGAATATTTTGATTATCGTTTTCAATAATATTTATCTTTATATTTAAAAACATATATTTATTATTTTTATGTAATATAAAATAACATCAAATAAATAATATAAACTAACATCAAATAACATCAAATAAAAAATATAAACTAATATCAAATAACATCAAATAAATAATATAAACTAAATTATCAACTATTTGTCCATTGCAATTTCCAATTCTTTCATCAATTATTTTCTTGAACTCGATAGCTTGATCTTTTTTATCTTTTGCCCATGATTTCTTATGATTTTGACCATTTTCTCTGTATATGAATTGCTATCTTTTTTTGCTTTTATCTAAGCTTAATCCATTAATTCCAGATGTATTATTTTTATATAATTTACAATTTTTTGATTTACTCCATTGCTTCCATTCCTTAAATTGCATTCGCGATTATCAAGACCATTGCAATTGATGTGATCAACTATTTTCCATTCAGGATGTAATAATCGACGAAATCCTTTATGTTGAGTATTTGTTGCATAATAATTATTTTTTTTATAAGTTTTTCATTTATATTGTTGAAGAAGTTTATAATTTTTGAGATCACATATCATTGTTTTATTATAATTAAGTTTAATTTCAAAATATTTTATTTTATTTTTATCTTGAACAATACGAAATTCATTTTGTATTTCACCAAATGTGTTTTTGTGAAACCAGTCTGTTTTAGGTTCCATTTTTGTATAAGTTAAAATCAAAACCTGTGTATATTTATATTTTTATTAGATTATGGAGTTATTTTTAAAATTGCCGGTTATTAAAGAGCCAATTTCATTGGCTTGGTAGTCTTACCGGCGATGACCTAACTAAGCCTTCAAAATTTTTAATTATTTCAATTTAATTTTCTTATCAAAAAAATTAATTAATGTAAAATATATAAATATATAAATATTAAAATATAAGTAAACTTTTATTAATTAGATTATATATATTGATAATATTATTAATAAGAAAAAATTTTATTGATATTTTATTCTTGTTTTATTTTTTTAATTGAATTAACTCTATCTTAAATTAATAAAGTTAGTAAAATTTAAGAAATAAGTTTAAGTTTTTAAGTAATCAAAAAAATAATTATTATTTAAGCTGAAAATGTATTATCTTTATTATTTTGATAAAACAAAGTTTTTTATAGAGATTTCTTTCTTATCTTAATTAAGCTTTAAGACAATAACTTTCTAGATTAATATAATATAAAGATTTCCAATAAATAAAAAATTAATAAATAGTATAGATAGAAGATTAAATCATGTTAAATAAGTTTTTCAAATAATTGAAGAAAAAAGAATATAATTCTTGATAAGAAAAAATTTCTAAAAAAGATTTTTTATTTTATTTATTTATTTATTTTTTTATTGTATACTTGTATATTTTTATATGTCCATTTTCCATTTGTTGACCCATTTCTTTTATAGTTTTCTATTATTCATCGGCTTTATAAAACACATTGTAGTGACAAACTGTTGGTTATGATACATGATCTAAAAAAATTCACGTCTAATTCTATCACAGAGTAAAAAAATGATTTAAGATCAAACTTAAAGGCTTTTAATGCTAAATGATTTGATTTGGCTATAGTATATACTTCGCTGCTCAAATGGATATACACTTATGTTTACATTTGATTAATAAACTACATGTTTATTCTGGCTACAGGTAATATAAAATAAATAAATAAATTATATATTTAATAACTTTTTACCCTCTTGTACTTTTAACTTTGAATATTTTAATAAATAAATTATAAAGTATTCTGGAATTTTTTGAATTTTGTCTTTCGACTATCAAATATTTGGAATTTGTTTTTTCCATTTGGCACTATTTAAGATTGACTCCTGCAACTATTTTATTAAATAATTTATAATTTATTAAAAATTGAAATTTATTTTATTTTGAAATTTCGTTTTAAAAAATTAATAATTTTTTAAAAAAAATACGCGAAATTTGGAGTAATGAATTATTTTACAGTTTTTACAAAAGATTGAAGTTTTTGTTTTTTTTTTTCAGATGTATTTCTATTCACAATTATTTTAATAATGTCCATTATTCAAAAAGTAACTCGGCTTTCCATATACCGCAAAATAATATCACGGAAAGATACTCCGTATGTAATTTTAAAATCATTGCAGTCCTTTTTCTAGGCTTCGCTTTTACAACCTCATTGAAAACTAGCCATTCAAGTCGTTCGATGTACTCCATCACCACTCTGTACCATCATATGATATTGAACTACAAATTAGATAACCTGCGCGGACCAACAGCATTAATTCTGTTCTATTGCACGACCGAGAGGTACTTTTTGTTAGCGATCTAATTTGCTTATTAAATTGCCATGTGTTCAGGAGATTTTTCCAGATCGAGCTTAGGAAAATCCGACCATTTAATTATCTATTGTTATCCAATTTATGTCACAGTGTTATATAACAAACATTCGGCATTAATTGTTGCTGTACAACCGGTAAAGCGCAAAGAGATTAGATAGATGTAGAGTAGAAGAAGATGCACAAACGGAATTGACCAACGAGGCGCACTTTAGAGAATCTTTCTACGACCGAAAAAAAAAAAAAAAAAGATAATGCTGTGATACGGTTTAAATGGAAACAAAGGTTCAACTAATGTAATGATTGTATGTAAGGCGACGAACAGCTCTCAGGAGAAGGCTGCAAGATTATGCGCCAAGCAAATTCTAACAACTTTCAAAGGAAAAAAAATTATATTGCATTCAAAATGTGAAATGATGTGTTGCAAAAAAATAAATAAGAATGAAATACAATAACCAAAAAAAAAAAAAGAAAAGAAAAAGAAAAAGAAAAAAAAAAAAATCAATTCACAATGTTTTACAATATGTTTTTCATCCCCATGCAACACTCCGTTATCCTTAAATAGAATTACACAGCGTTTAATTCTTGCATCTGTGCAATGTGTTCCAGGTTGCAAATTCATATACGTATGCATTGCAATTCGGAAGTTGGGCGCTGCTTTTCAATGATCTCCTTATAATTGAAACCTTGTCCCTAAAATAGCGCCTCTTGGCATATAAATTTTTCGGTTCCCTGAGGGTCAGAGTGTCTAGAAGGAGGGCGAATGACTACCCGAAAAGGAAAATATTCATGCACATATGTGCGTATGTACGCATCTATTCATTTGTTTGCTTAACGTCCCACGAATTCCTTGCAACAATAAGAAATGTATGTCCTAACATGATTGGGCATTTAAGCAATCGTCCGATAGGGTGATTACTTTGTTGTGTGTGTACTTGAGACTCGTTGATGGTGGTGATTGAATTGATGATAAGGTTCATCTCATGGTTACAGCAATTAAACCGGAGAAAAGAAAGCACACTCATGTTTATCTCGTAAAATTATCGCACAATCATTCAATTATGAATTAAATGTAGTGTTCTTGGCGCTGCATTGTGTTCTTCTTGTTGCTTCGTGCCCTTGCGACGATATACTACAGTAATGTTTTTTCCCCTGACATTTTATTAGCGTGCGTAACAAATATTTATTTGGCGATACCTACAGAAATTTCGTTATGACTTATCATTTCCTTAAATGTAGGATTGGTAAGATTCTGCATCGGGAAGTTGACTGGTGTCGCAAAACTTCAAAAAAGATATATATAGATATGGCATTTCCAAGGTTAGAAAAGTAGATTTGACAATATCACTGCCACCGCATTGTCCTTATCTGTGTTATTACCCATAAAAAAGAAAAAAACTTTAACAATCATCCCCACCTTAAAAAATTTAAAATGTCTCGTTTCACTACTCGAACTTTTCTTTTACTTATCTTGATCGTTGCACTATTAGCGTTTGTAGCGCAATCAGGTAAATATTTCCTTAGTTGAGATTACATAATTTTTATTTACCTCAACTTTTCCTCACCATTCTAATCTCTTCGTACAGCCTCTGATTCCGCAAGTGCAACCGGAGCTAAAGCGCTTCCCTCGGCCAGTGCATCAGGTGCTTCAGCTAGTCCATCAGGTGCTTCGGCCAGTGGATCTGCCGCCTCAGCCGGCCCATCTGGTGCTCCAGCTACAGGTATATTTTCTGGCTCAAAAATTAATAATAATTTCACCACACGATTTTCCTTATTTTAATTCTCATTATACATCACCATACTATTAGCTTCAGGTTCCAGCCCTTCATCATCCAGCACGCCCGCATCGAATGCTGTTCGTCAAGAATCCATGGCAATTTGGGGAATTTCCTTGATCGTTGGACTTGCTATTATTGCTTCAAATTATTAAATTAGATATATACAGTATAATAAGATGATTCTTTTATAGTATATGAATGAACCCTTTTTACCTTATTCACCCATTAATTTTATTTATTTATATTTAATTAATAACGTTATTACGTTTACCATTATAGAAACCATTTTTGCCAACGAATTCGATCATTTTTTATGACCTGGTAAAAGTACCCTCATTTGAGAAAGTAATAAAAATTTACTTAATTCGAAAATATTCGAACACAGAAAAATGCAATGCGCTTACAAAAAAAAAAAGACAAATATGTATCTGATCAACAAGCCTTCCGCCATGTGATAATTATTGTTACTCTTGAATAAAGTTCTTGATAACTGAACCAAAGGTTTCACTAAGCGGTAAATGTCTTTTTATCTTACTACATTGGGCATTTGGCAAATCATTGAAATGCACCCGAAGGTTGTGATATGGTTCCTAATGTACACAGGTAAATAATAATTATTCTCTGTAACAATGAGCGTAACACGGCCCCCAATTGAAAAATAGCTATAAAACAACGAGCAGTGAATTTATGAACGGCACTTGACCTCCAGTCATCACAACATCACAATGTCTCGCTTAACTATTCGTGTTTTCCTTCTTACCTCTCTCCTCGTCGGATTATTGGCGTTGGCAGTAAATGGATGTATGCATAAGTTATATTCTTCTTTATCGTAAAAAGTTTAATAATCTCCTTCCTACAATAAAATTAT